GAGAGAGAGAGAGAGAGAGAGAGAGAGAGAGAGAGAGAGAGAGAGAGAGAGAGAGAGAGAGAGATGAGCGATACAAGTTTGGTTGTCATGTACCTGTGAAGACCGTTGTGCGGTCCAACGAGGAAGGAGAAGGCGGCCATAGCCGCGGAGCTCCACCACAAAATAACAAAGGAGGTGTAAGAGAGGACAGAGGGAGAGACCGAGGAGAGAAGACAGACGGGGTGAAGAAGAAGGAGGCAAGGCAGAAAAAGGGAAGGAGAAGGGTGGCGACGAAGGGGAAGCCGGCCGCCGTAACCGAACCGAAGTTGACCAGAGTTAATCGGGCGTTGAACGGGAGTTGACCAGAGTTAACGGCGCTTTAACCGAGCGCTTTAACTGGGCGTTGACCGAGAGTTGACCGGAAGTTTACCAAAGTTGACCGGGCGCTGACTGGGAGTGGACCGGGGGTTGAATGCAGCGTTGACCAAGCGTTGACCACGATTTTCACCAAGTTGGAGCCAGTATAATCTCGCAAAGCCTTCAGCCCATTCCCTCGCCCCATGGATGTGCACACACCCTATGGTACTTGCTGAGTCAAGTTTGTCTGTCTCTTCTTTCTGCATCGAGTCTCTTTTGTCCAAGTGATAGGACTCTATGAATGAAGGAATGAAGGATAGGGCCTTGTTGACCAAACCCACACGGGCTGAGTAGGGCTAAAGACTGTGTCTGACGACTCGACTGTCCCAGAGGACACGAACCCTCCCAAGGACCGGTACTGACCGACGGGCTGCTCGGTGTGGCACGGCAGGCCCAAAATCCGAGTTGTGGGCTGCACAACAGGCCGTCTAAGTCTTGAGAGGACCTGCTGATCGCGTCGCCCTGTCTGCAACGTTAAAGAATTCCTGAGGAGTTATGGGGGATCTCCTTAAATGCCTCCTGATCAGCAACAGGTCTTGTAGTGACAGCCATAGTTTAGGTCCAGGCTAGTAACCCTAGTTGACAGGCTCCTGTCCGGATTTTGTAGTCCTTAGATCGAGTCAGTAGGTCTTGTCAGTCAAGGGGGTAGAGTCTAAGTGGTGAGGAGTGGAACCGTCGCCCGGTTGTGCACCTGACACCATGGTTGACACACGTGGTGGGAAGAGTACTACCCCTTACACCCAGGCTCAGGAGGAGCGATTCGCCGCCATCCTGAGAGAAAGAAGGGAGAAAAAGGAGAAGAAAGAGCTCCTCAAGCAAGCGAAGCTGAAGGCGATAGCTGAGGAGCAGGCGGCGAAGAAGAGGAAATGGGAAAAAAAGATGATCAGATTGGAGCTCCTCAAGCAAGCGAAGCTAAAGGTGATAGCTGAGGAGCAGGCGGCGAAGAAGAAGAAATGGGAAGAAAAGATGATCAGATTGCAACAGCAGGATGAAGAAAAAAGAAGGGCTTCCAAAGAAGAAGCAGCAGCAGAGGAGGAAGAAGTAGAAGAAGAACCCATCGAAAGGAGGCATGGGGGAGAGAGCGGAGAAACTAGTGGCACGATGGCAGAGGATAAGTGGATGGAAAAGAAGATCAGTGAGTGGGTGGCTAACTTATCGCTGGGAGAAGATGAGGAGGCAATGTTGTACGTGCCTCAGGAGGAGAAAGAAGCATTCGCCAGGGAGCTGGAAGCTAAGGAGGACCCCCTGGAACGCCAGACGATGGAAGACGAGAAGAGATTGGAGTGGAAATTGCGTCTTGCAAGGGAAAAGAAGAGGAGGAGGGGGGAGGCCAACCGGATGAACATCAGGCCAATAAGGGTCCGGAAGTGACCCTCCACTCCATCCGTCTTTAGAGAGTTTGCGCGTGCCGTGGTAACCCACGTCGGGACCGAAGTTAAAAGGTTGAAGGAAGGCGAGAAGTTATGTGCCGGCGCCATTGAAGGCGCCAAGGTAGTGGCTGCAACAAAAGCCTAAACGCGACCCCGCAAAGAGCCCGTTAAGCTCAAATTTCCAAACTCTTATAGCGGGAAAAAGGATGATAATTTTGAAAATTGGGAGGCCAGCATTAACACATATGTCGATTTACAGCATATCGCGCCAGAGGAACAAGTCCTCGTGGCCTTCCATGCACTAAAGGACGAAGCGGCCAACTTTGCCAGGTCCCTTGCATGCGCAGCCGATTGTGAGCACAATATGGTTGCGCATTATAAGCTCACCCCTCTTTCTACTTTCCATAAACTCCTGCGAGAGAGGTTTGCTAACGTCACAAGGGGCGTCAGGGCCTCTGACAAGCTTCAAACCATCCACTCACGACAGTGGAGGAGTGCACGAGCACTCGAAGCTGTCATGGACGACTTGGTAGCCGTCCCAAACCACGGGGTCACTGAGACCCAGTTGGTCCAATTATTTTATCGTGCCATGCCAGAGCCCCTGCGAGGGCATTTCTTTGATAAGACCTAACAAGCCAACATCACGTATGATGCGTTAAGTAGGGAAGTGGTCCTGTTTGAGGCAAAGTCCATGCCAGTTTCCACTTTCTAGCATAAGGACTTAGATAAGGGAAAGAAGTGGAAAGGTCGTACCATCTCAAGTCAGGTTAGGACCAAGGATCATTTGATCCTCACGTTAGATGAAGGTGGTACCGATGAAGTCCCCTACAGTCAGATCGAGTGGGGGCTAGAGGAGGAGGACAGCGGTACAGGCCAGGGGAGGACCTATGCTGCTGTCGCGGCTGGAGGGAGGTCGCAAGGTAGAGGAGGCCAGGGCGAAGGGGGCCGGGTCATGGGTGGTTGAGGTCCGGGTGCACAAGGGGGTTGGCAGTTAAAAGAACCGTCAAGTGGGAGGTAGGGGTCAAGGTCCCCCGCCGAATCGCTCAGGACCCAGTCCATCGCCGCAACGCAGAGGTGGAAGGTCACCTCAAAGGCAAGCAGGTTGGCACCAAGGTTGGCCACAAGGACAACCTTGGGAAGATTTGGGCTTGGACCAGCGTGTATGGCAACAACGTATGGAGCAGAGGCAGTGCATCTACTACGGTGATCCTGTCCATATTATTAGATATTGTCCAAAGTATAGGGAAGCCCGATTCGCTGCCCAGGGGTCAAAAGGCAGCCCCCGTAGGGGTCGCAACTGCCCCTACTACAAGGCCATGTAGGGAAGTGTGCGCGCACCACCAGGAAACTCCCACACCACATGAGCCTTCGGCAGAGGTTGCAGACCAGTGCCTAGTTAGTTGTCCAGAGACTGCCTGTGTTAGCGTCTCTCTAGGCACTTCCCTCACAGGCGTGGCAGAAGAGTTGAAAGAGAGGATGCCTGCCTGGGCCAAAACAAAGAAGGATAGCAAGGGACAGCTAGTCTTAGTTGATGTAGAGGTTTTTAGAAGTAGAGTAAGGGCCCTTACTGATTTTGGGGCTACTCACAGTTATATTAGCCGTAGAGCGCTGAAGAAGCTAAGGCTAGGGTTGAAAGTCCAAAAGTTTGAGACCCCATAGTTAGTGTCCTCGCAAACAACCGCACTATGCGTGTTGAGGACTATGTAGAGGGAGTCCAGGCGTATTTCCGCCTAGACAGAGATAGGAAGGTCGAGAAGGTTCTCCATTCCCTGACTCTCCTCGTGCAGGATGACCTTCCTTTTGAGATAGTCCTAGGCATGGACTGCGGAGAGGCAGTAGGGGCCACACTTCATTTGAGAGAGCATGAGTGTAGGCTCCCTCGTCCGTCAGGCGAGGTTAAGACTGCCCGCCTGTTTCATGTGTCTGAAGTAGATAACTCCTTGGCACATTGTTGTCTAAGAGCTCCCTCGTTCGCGGGATTAGTGAGAAAGGAGCAGTTAAGAGGAACAAGTCTTCGTAGCTTATGTGAGGCCTGTCACTGAGCCTAAGGAAGACACACCCATAGACCCAGCCATTGCCAAGCTGCTGGAAGAGTTCAAAGATCTTGCAGAGCCGCCGTCAGGAGTAGTGCCGCGGCCGATCCAGCATCGTATAGAGATAGAGTCTGGCAGTAGGACTCCTAAGGGAGCAGTCTATAGGATGTCCCCAAGGGAGTTAGAGGAGCTACGAAAGCAATTAGACAAGCTCCTAGAAAAGGGTTGGATTAGGCGCAGTTCATCTCCTTTTGAAGCACCGGTGTTGTTTGTCCCCCAAAAGGAAGGAGAGTTACGGATGTGCATAGACTATAGGGGTCTAAATGCGATCACAGTGAAAAACGCTGAATCGCTGCCCAGGATAAATGATCTTTTAGATCGGGTGCAGGGTTGCAGATATTTTTCGAAGATCGATCTGAAATCCGAATATCATCAGATAGAGGTCCATCCTGATGACCAGTACAAGATTGCATTCCGGACTAGATATGGGCACTACGAGTTCATAGTGATGCCCTTTGGACTAACCAATGCCCCTGTCACGTTCCAGCGCTCTATGAACGATTTGTTCAGGCCGTGGTTAGATAGATTTGTTGTAGTTTATCTAGATGATATATTAGTATTCAGTAAGACCCTTTAAGAGCATCAAGGTCATTTGAGGCAAGTCTTGGAGAAGCTGAGAGAGGCTAACTTCAAGATCAATGCAAAGAAGTGTGAGTGGGGCAAGACACAAGTCTTGTACTTGGGCCACGTCTTAGACGAAGATGGTATTGAGCCTGAGGACGGTAAGATAGCGGCGAATAGAGATTGGTCGACGCCCCGCACATTGACTGAGTTGCGGTCGTTCCTAGGCCTAGCTAACTACTATAGAAAGTTCGTGAGGAACTTCTCGACTGTCGCCGCTCCCCTTCGCAGGTTGCTCAAGAAAGAGGCAATCTAGGTGGGATAAAGACTGTACGTCTGCGCTAAAGAAGTTAAAGCGCGCGTTGATAGAGTATCCCGTCCTCAAAGTAGCAGATCCGTCTTTGCCATTTGTTGTCACCACGACGCAAGTCAATATGGTATAGGCGCCGTGTTACAGCAAGACGACGGCAATGGCTACAGACCTGTAGAGTTCATGTCAGCGAGGATGCCCTTAGAGAAGGTAGCCACCTCGACTTACGAGAGAGAACTCTACGCTCTCAGGCAGGCCTTAGAGCACTGGAAGCATTACCTGCTTGGGAGGCACTTCAAGGTGTATTCAGACCACGAGACTCTTAGGTGGCTGAAGCCACAGGCCAAAATGACACCTAGGTTGACTAGGTGGGCCGCTGAGATAGACCAGTATGACTTCAAGCTCAAGCCTGTCAAAGGCAAGTACAATGTAGTTGCGGATGCTCTAAGTAGGAGATCGGACTACTTTGGAGCTATAGTTCATTATATGGATATAGGAAGTGACCTGCAGAAGAGAGTTAGACAGGCGTATGCGCAATACCCTATTTATAGTGACCTCCTCAAGAGAGTTAAGGAGGCCCCAGAGACCGAACCACATTACCTCATTAGAGAAGGATTATTGTTCGAGAAGACCGACGTAGTAGACCGTCTGTGCGTTCCCAACAGCGAGGAGATCCGTAGTTTGCTCCTAGGCGAATGCCACGACACAGAGGGACATTTCGGTTGGCAAAAGACTCTAGCCAATCTGATGCATGCGTACACTTGGCAAAGGAATGAAAGCTGACTGCATAGAGTATGTCCGCAGTTGCAAAGTATGCCAGAGAAACATGACTACTACGCGTGCCCCTCTAGGTCTTCTCAGACCCTTGCCTATTCCTGATCAGCCAGGAGATTCAGTGTCCATTGACTTTATGGACGCTCGCGTCAAGAGTAGGCATGGTAGGAGCCAAATCATGGTCATAGTTGATAGATTCAGTAAGTATGCTGTTTTTGTCCCTTTGCCTGCAGAGGCACGCACAGAATTAGTCATTCAAAAGTTTTTTGACCATTGGGTTAGCGATCACGGGATTCCGCTGTCTATAGTTAGCGATAGAGACACCCGGTTCCCTTAGTTAGAACAGGCAGGAACTCATGAAAGTTTATGGGTCAAAGTTGCTGATGTCATCTGGCCGTCATCCAGAGACTAACGGTCAGACAAAACAGATGAACAAGATCCTGCAACAAGTTCTGCGCATGTACATTAGACCCGATCAAGTCAATTGGGACGAGATGTTGCCCTATAACAACAACGTGCACTTGTCCACCTGTGGCACTCCCAATGAGTTACACAAGTCCTTTAGACCTCCCAGACCGTTTGAGGGGCTTAACCGGGATCAGATTCATAGGCTACTTGCGATACAACACGAGAAAGAACTAGCTACAGTCGTCGAGGACCTCACGAAGGCCCAACATAGAATGATAGAGTAAGCCAACAAGCACCGTCGCCCATCGCAGTTCCACGTAGGCGACTTAGTTTGAGTCAAGTCCAAAGAGTTTGCTCCTGAGGAAACAATCTCGCAGAAGTTACTGCCAGCGTACAAAGGACCATGGCCGGTTCTAGAAGTTAAGGCCGAAGAGGATGGGCCGTCCTACACAGTAGAGATCCCAGCACACCTCCACACCTACCCTGTGTTTCATGCATCAAAGTTGTTGCCGTGTATCTAAGTCCACAGTTTCCATCTTGCGTACGACATTGACGGCATCGACGGCATTGTAGGTGAAGATGTGTTTAGAACAGGAGGTAGAGGTCGTCCACAGAAACAGTATAAGGTCCGCTTTGCTTATCAGGAACCATAGGACGACCGCTGGTTTACTAGGACAGGACTTCTAGAAACAGCTCCCGACGTAGTTAGAGCCTAAGAGAGAGATAGGAAAGGTAAAGGTCCAGCCTTGGATTGAGTTATTCTCGAAGGACCTCGAATTTAGGCCGGCAGGAGTGAAACGGGATTCACCTATTCGCAGTAGCGGATGCAGATCCCAGGGCTCGATCCCTAGTCCTCACCCCAACTGTTTACGGTATCTGTGTCGACCCCGTAGTTGAACCCGTGACCTGTGTATTTGTAACAGTTGGTAGACTGTCGTAGGGTCCGTACGTGGTAGGGGTTCGATCTATAGACCTGTTGTTTGGAGGTCTTCGTAGGTCCTAGGAG